GAGGGAAAGTTTTATATGTCAAACAACAAGGTTTGGTGTTTAGGATTCATTGTAAGGGGAAAACGGTCAAACAAACCGTGTCCATGTAGCTCACTCTAGCCATGGCACAAGGCTTATGCACCTCTAATTATGTACCCTACATATAAAACAATGAAAGAAATCTTTTCTTCCCTTGTAATTTATTACTACACATTTTGCTTCATCGATGCTTTACAATGAATTCGATATCCTAAATCCCACGGGCTACCCCGAATCGGATGCGAGATCCTAAAGCCCACGGGCTACCCTAACTCGGAGACTGTCATTCGATAAAAAAATCGGATGGCTCGGGCTATCGATTCCCGGAGTTACCAAGCCTATAAGGCAGTACCCGAATATGAATGGCTACGGCCACCCTAAAATGGCTCGGTGGTATCGGAAGTCTACAGTCAGAAAGTAAGGCCCTTACATATCATCAAAACCTATTAAAGGGTTACCATCGACAAAACCGTCGTTATATATGACTAAAACACTTAAGCATCTTAAATGCCTTTGATTTTATCAAAATTTTGAAGCCAAGAGTAATCCGGAGATACCATCAAGATCGGGTCCCATTCAGACCTCTGAAGAACAGATGCTCTAGATTTCGTTTGATTCTATGCTAAGTCATCACGAGTGATATGCAAATAAAATGTCAAGCAAATGCAGAAAAGTAAAAACGCGATGTTGCCAAAAGGAAAATTTATGCTTATATGTCAAAACATATTTACAAAGCCACGATAAAACGACCTCAAAATAAACAAGAAAGAAAAATGTACAAAAGGGAAACAAAAAAGAACTAAGGTATCCACACCCGGTCTTCACTAGAGCTTGACGCGGTACTGTAACCTTCGGAACCTTTAGAATATTCAAATTTCGGGACTTTCGGGCTCATAGATTTCCTTTGCCTTGGCCTCGAGTCTCTTGGCCTCTTCAATCTCGACCGATAGGTCAAATCCTGGGGCGTGAATCTCCTCGAGTGTCCCCCTCCAGGATAGCAACTTTACATACTCGGTCTACATTTTTAAACGGGCCTTGGGTTTCTCCATATCAGTCTTATACTGGGCCATCATTTCATCGACTTCGGAAAAGTCAATCAAAGTTTCCTCTATTTTGGACTTCAGCGTAGTATATTCCTATCCAAGGGCATCCCATTCCATGCCCTGAGTTTGTCATTTAGCTGTGACCACTTGTCGGCCTTGCCTTTTTCCATCCGGAGCTGGTTTTTGACCGATGCTAGCTCCTTTTTTGCAGCCTCTTTTTCTGAAGCCAACATGTTCATCCTACCACTCAACATCATGGCCATGGTCTTGACCTTATCCATATCGGCCAGAAGCTGGTAAATCAAGTCTATCTTCACCTGGACCTACGAAGTTGCGTCGTTAGTCATCACGAGTAGCTTCTTGTTTTTAGTCTCAAAGATCCTTACCTTCTCGACCAAATTGGGATGCTCCCGTTTCACGGACGAGGTCTCCTTCTATGCCTTTTATATCTCAACTCATAGAATTTGGAGGTCTTTGAGATCCTCGTCTTGTTGTTCCATGAGAGCCTTATACATGTCCTTCTTCTGGACCCGCTCTTTGAGCTCGGACACGAGCTGGCTGGTTCCATCCGCGATCGAAGGAAGCTTTCATGGTGGAGCACTGAAGCCTGAAAAATAATAAGGTAGTTAGAACATGCTAAAACTAAGCAAAGTTCGCAAAGGATGCCAGGAGTAGACACCTTACATGGCAACGAAGAAAGCTAGCCACACCCACCAGGGCGGACAGCGCCCGGGCATCCGCCAGAACGATCATTATTTTATGATCGGTATCCACACTCGGGGTAGGGAACTGCCTCACTAGCTTTGGGCTCAAGCTTGACGCACCCTCCCCCGATGGAACATCCTTTCTTGGGACTTCTAAGTGACCAAGCCACAAATATTCTCCAACGCGCTCATGTCCATGCCATCAAAGAACATGTTGAGGGCATCATCTGTGCCCCGTGCTGTCTTGTTTGATTTTTATCTATCGACTTGAGCCTCTTCGAGCATGGACTTTGTGTGGGATGGTGTTTCCGTGATGTCAATGACATCGGCTACTTCCCTCGGGGTAGGAGAAGCTTCTCGGGAGGTCGTGGCCTCTGATTCTCCTTATGGTTCTCTAGATAGAGGGGGATCAAACTCTTGGCCACCTTCTCCGGTTGCCGCCTGCTCTCCCTCATCGATGGTTGACCCATAAACTCAAGATCATCGTCCCTAGGGTAATTTGTGAGCTGGAAAAGGGAATCAAGGTCTGATGGTAGGCTAGAAACCCGTATTTTAGTCGTAGTTTGCACTCCAATTACTGCATTTTACTTGTGTTTGAGCTTAAATGTTTGTTTATAACACTTATTATGTGTTTGATGCCTTGCAGGAAGTGATTCCGAGCTATTAAGATAATTTGGAACTAATTTGAATAAGTTCGAGCTTTGAAGTATAAGTAAAAGCCCAAGGATTAAGGGATCGCTTTCGGGTCGAGAGCCAAGTCTAGATGAAAATTGAAGAAAATGACTTACTCCGAGAGAAGTTTACTGTCGCGCCGCATGGGGCAACATACAGGGCGATGCGGCAGTATACAAAATTCTCAGGGTATTTTTACTATTTCGGTTTGGAAAGGATTGTTTCATCCGGACCCATTCCTACATGGTATAAATACACCAAAAAGTCATTTTTGAAGGGACTTTTGACCTTGGAAGCTTTGGGAGAGCATTTGAGGCTACAAGATACATAAAATTTCATCATAGTTCCATCAATTCAATACGAGAGTTTGGATTGTAACATTAGATTGATATTTTCTTACTCTTTGATTATATTTGTGATGACTTCCTCCATGACTATGGAGTAGTTTCCATTAGGATTTGACGGATCTGGTGTTTTGATTGATATTTGCGGGTTTTAACTCTAGTTATTTGCTTGAATTCATTTATGAAGCTTTCAATTATTGCAACTTTATTCACTGGTTTATTTAATTGAAATAGGAATATTTTGGTGATTATCTTTGCAATTTTATTTGGTTTAATTCGGTGATTCTCTTAAGTAATCGAAAGAGCTTGTTGAGTTGTTGATTAAATCAAAGTAGGAGAATATTCGAGAGACATTTTCCTGAAGACTAATCCATTAATGCATGCTTGTATATTTTCACAGTGCTTATATTAGTCCACCTCGTAGAATTAAGATTTAATCGAGAAAGGAGTCTTAACTACACGTTTGAGCTAATCATCGAGTTAATTTATATGAATCATTAGAACATTAGAGTGAATTAAACTAGAGTTGGATCCTAAATAGCTATCTTGCACCTATCCTGTCAAAACCCTTATTTCTCACATTGATAAGAAAGCAACCCTGCTAATCTCTAGGTTTTTGCCGTCAATTGTCAATTACTTTACTTTAGTAGTTAATCGTAGTTCGTAATCATTCCAATTAAGTTTTTATCCTCCTGAATAATAGTTAAACAATGAATTACTAGAGCATTATATAAATCCAATCCCTGTGGAGACGATAATCATACTATACTATCTTTGGCTAGGTATTGGAAATCAATAGTGTTCAAATTAGTTTTTGGTGCTAATTCAGGAACCAATTTAATTTTATTCTTCACGATTTTTCTCTTCTATGTGCAGGAAACAAGTTTAGCTCTTGGTGTATGACTCGACCTTCTTCTAAGGAAGTGACTCAATACCATCCAGAAGTGGAACATCGTCTGCGACAGGTGAGGAAAGAGAAAGAACTCACCCGAAAATTCTTCAGGCAATCTTCAACCCAAGAGAATATGGCTAAGAACGGTGAGGAGATAGTTGATTTGGCTGCACGGGAAGCAGCCCAACAGGAAGCAACCATACGGGAGGCTGCGAAAGCAACTCTCAGAGCTAATGAAATGGTGGACGAAAACAGAGGACGTAGATTCAACCTGAACCGACCTCTGGTTAAAGAAGAATTTGAAAATAATATGCCCAAACTTGGATGATCACCGGGAGACTACACCAGGCCAGTCTACAATTAAGGAGTATATAGTGTGCGACCTCCTCTGATCACAACCCATAATTTTGAGATCAAGCAAGGGCTACTTCAGACTATTCAGAATAATTGTGTCTTCCGAGGCAAACCCAACGAATATCCAAATACTCATTTGATGGATTTTAATGAGATTATGAATACCTTCTAGCACAATGGGGAATCGAAAGATGATATCTACTTAAGGACATTTCCTTTTTCACTAAGGAAAGATGCTAAGCATTGGTTGCGAAGTTTGCCTACTGGGTCAATTCAACTTTGGAAGACATGACAAGGAAGTTCCTTGAAAAATATTTTTCATCTGCAAAAATAGGGAAAATTCCAAGAGAAATCCACAACTTCGAGCAGAAAGAGACAAAACAGTGTTCAAAGCATGGGAAAGATTTAAGGAGATTGTGAGAAGATGTCAGCATCATAGAGTAGACTTGTGGATGCAACTCCAAGATTTATGGATGATCTGACACCATCTGGCAGGAGGATGCTAAACAACGCAGTTGGAGGTCCTCTTATGAGGAAATCTCCTGAGGAGATTTTTTCAATTTTGAATGAATTATCTGAAGATTCAAATCAATGACCTGCAGATGATAACCATAGAAGAAAATTAGCTAGGCTACACCAGGTAGACTCTAACACATCGGTACAATCCCAACTAGACACCATGGCTAGAAAGATAAGAAAGTTAACATTGGCCAAGGTACAGAGTGAGCCGCAATCAGCATGTGACTTTTGTGGAATATGACACCCTACACACGAGTTTCAAGCTTCAACTGAAGTAGTAAATATTGTGGGGAGCTTTGACAGAGGCAACTACCAAAGTGAAAACAATTTTAACTCCAAATGGCAGAGGTACCCAGGTTTTTCTTGGAGTTCACCAGGTGGTAGTGCAAACGCATGGAGGCAAAATAACTCCAGACCTCAGGGACAAGGAGCTACAGGTTTTCAAAATTAGCAGATGCGACAACATCATCCTCCACAGTCTAATCAGTCTAGCATGGAAGATCTGATAAAGGCCTTTATTATTAAGACAGATAAGAGGCTTGATACCAATGGCTCATCTATCAGAAAACTGGGCACGGCCTTACGAAACTTAGAAAGACAGGTTGGGAAACTAGCTAATCTATTGTCTGAGAATGTTCCAGGAACTCTCCCTACGAACATCGAAAGGAATCTAAAGGAAACAATAAACATACTATCTTTGAGGAATGGCAAAGTATTGCAAGATCTATTGGTAGCAGAGAATAATGAGTTGATGGAAAATCAAGTTAAGAATGAAGGAGAGCAGAAAAGTGATAAGTATCGTAAGAATGAAGTGAGGGCAGAGCAAGAGGATGATCTGAAGAGGAAGAACAAATCTGAGGTTCCAACAAGGAAGAAGAAAGAAAAACAAAGAAGTAATGATGATATCAAAGATAGTAATATATGCTAGCTCTACCTTTCCCTTAGAAGCAAATAATAAAGAAGCCGGACAAACAATTTGGGCGTTTTCTAGAAGTGCTCAAACAGGTGCATGTGAATATACTCTTCAAAGAGGTGCTTTTACAGATGCTAGCTTATGCTAAATTTTTGAAATAGATAGTGTCCAAAAAGCAAAAAGTGAAAGAGACATCGATTTTCAAGCTTACAGTGCCATTAGTCAAAACAAGCTCCTTCAAAAGTGTGGAGACCGAGGGAGTTTTAATATACCTTACTCTTTAGGAAGTACTAAATTTAGCAAATCTTTGTGTGATTCAGGTGCTTCTATTAATCTTATGACTTTGTCTATATTTAGGAAATTAGAGGGACAGATTGGAGAAATCAGGTCAATACATGTGTCCTTGCAGCTGGCGGATCAAACCACAATCATACCTGAAGGAATAGTGGAAGATATCCTAGTTCGAGTGGATAAATTTATGTTCCCTATGGACTTTATCACAGTGAACATGGAGGAGAATATAGAGGTCCCTCTGACTTTAGGAAGACCCTTCTTAGCTACTGGCAGAACAATTCTGGATATTCAGGAAAGGAAGCTCATGCTCAGAGTGGGGGAAGAAAAGGTGAACTTCCAGATAAAAGGATCAATGGGGCCCTAAAGGAGCAAATTGGAGAGATTAATACTGATAAGTGTGGGGTGCAATCAAAGAAGGCCGATAAGAATCTCTTAGCATGGATGTGTGCACTGGGTCGGGTGTGCACATGTGATTCCGACTTCCATTTAGACCACGACTATATGAATCAGGAAAGTTTCCTTTACCTCTTGCTCTTTATTTGTGTGTCATGGGGACATGCTACAATTTAAAGCGTGGGGTGGGAGATGTAAATATGTACATGTGTGTTTGTTTTCGTTGATTTTTATTGAAATTGTTTTTGAATTTTCCCAGCAATGGATTTCCTCGACTGTCTTCTTGAGGGATTAAAGCCGAAGAAGAAAAAAAGTGTCTTTTATTTTTGTTTTATTTTATTAGGTAATGTAACAATTCTCCCTTGGTTTTTCTTTGTGCTACGGTTCTTTTTCAAGGGTTTTGCTTGAATCGGGTGCACAAGACTTTAAATTTCTTTATGCTACGGTTCTTTTTCAAGGGTTTTGCTTGAACGGGGTGTAGTTAGTTTTTCTTTTGTTAGGAAATTTGAAGTCTTGTGCTTTGGTATTAAATGGAGGTGACTTTTCTTGACTTTTTTGAGCCTTGGAGAGTAGTTAGTACATTAATTATGACTCCTAGGCTCAGTTCTTGACTCATATATAAGTGCCTATTATAATGTTGCTTAACAGCTTTGACTAGAGAGTGGGCATAGATACGGTACTGAGTGAGTTATGTGCCGACGTGTGTGTGAGATTTTGTTGTTATTCTATGAATGTTAGTTGATGTCTAGAACTTGCCCCGTGTGTTTGCAAAGTGAAATAGTAGTCTTGTTCATTCTAGGAAGTGATATAGGTATTTCTTTGTTGAGCCATTTATATGTTTTTACCCACCTAATTAATGTGTATCCTAGTTAGCCCCTTTTAGCATGTAATCCTACTTATTTGGAAATCACACTACAAGCCTATTCCATTTTGTTTGAATTGACTATTTGTGGAAATCACACTAAATTGCGCGGTAGTGCAATTTTGCTGCTGCCTGTCAGATTCTGCTCTCTGAACTTCCGCATTAGTGCCCCGCATGGGGCAGCACATGGTGCGACGCGCGTGTACAAAATTCTCCGAGTATTTTTTCTGTTTCGATTTGGAAAGAGTAGTTTCATCCGGGCACATTCCTATATGGTATAAAATTCACCAAAAAGATGTTTTTGAAGAGACTTTTGACCTTGGAAGCATTGGATGCTACAAGATACACAGAATTTCATTATCGTTCCATCAATTTAGTACGAGAGTTTGGATTGTAACATTAGATTAATGTTTTATTACTCTTTGATTATATTAGTGAGGACTTCCTCCATGATTATGGAGCAGTTTCCATTAGGGTTTGAAGGATATGGTATTTTGATTGATATTTGTGTACTTTAACTCTAGTTCTTTGCTAGAATTTGTTTATAAAGCTTTGAATTGTTGCAACTTTATTCACTGGTTTATTTAATCAAAAGAGAAATATTTTGGTGATTACCTTTGCATTATTTTGTTTGGTTCAATTCTGTGATTTTTTAAAGTAATCGAAAGAGCATGTTGAATTGTTGATTAAATCAAAGTAGGAGAGTATTCGAGAGATGTTTTCTTGATGACTCATCCATTAACGCATTCTTGCGTATTTTCACAGTGCTTATATTAGTTTACCTCGTAGAGTTAAGATTTAATCGAGAGAGGAGTCTTGACTACACATTTGAACTAATGATCGAGTTAATTCGTGAGAATCATTAGAACATTAGAGTGAATTAAACTAGAGTTGTATCCCAAATAGCTATCTTGCACCTATCCTATCAAAATCCTTATTTCTCATATTGATAAGAAACCAACTCTGCTAATCTCTAGTTCTTTGTCGTTAATTATCAATTGCTTTACTTTAATAGTTAATCATAGTTCGTAATCATTCCAATCAAGTTTTGGTCCTTATGAATAGCATTTAAACTACGAATTACTAGAGCATTGTTTAAATCTAATTCCCGTATAGACGATAATTATACTATACTATCTTTGGCTAATGAGCATTAGTTTTTTGTTGTATTTTTGCGCTCGTCAGGGTTCTGTACCCTGGATTTGGTATTCTTTTTGTTGCTTTTCGTACCTCGACAACAACCCTCTTATTTTCACATCGGCGTCCGAGGAGCCAGAGGATTTCATCTTTTGCTTCTTTTTCTCCTCCTTTGCGGCAACTCCGGGCTGTCCTGAAGCAGAGGGTTCAACAAGATAGGATGGGGCCTCATCCTCATCCAATGGCCAAAGCTCGATAGTCTTGGAAAACCCTGTGAAATGGAAAAAGACTTAGCAAAAATAAAAGTTAAGTATGTAAATGTAATTATTCAGGTAAAAGACTCACCATAGGAACGGACCTCCCACTTGCCCTTCGAGAGCTTGCGCCATTCGCGCTGAATGTAAGACATTTGTTTACAAATACCCTCAATACACTCCTTGAAGCGGGGGACTGCACTGAAGCTTGGGCGACCGCTGCATAACGGTAGACACATTCAATTAGAAAAAGAACAAAAGGAAATAGCGAGCACTCGAGAGGGAGAAGACTTACAGGATGAGTTCCACTTTTCAGGAACAGTAAAAGTTTAGGGAGAATGAGGTCTTCGATTTTCACCCGAACGAACCTCCCCTTCCACCACTGATCTCGATCTCTATCTTCATCGATGCTCAAGAATGGATCTTTACTTGCTCGACGAACGAGCTTGATCAGTCCCCATCGGAAGATTCGGGGATTGTAGATACGAAGTAGATGGTCGAGGGTGATTCTAGGTGCTTTGGTGTTATTTACAATGTGGCGGAGGAGGACTGCATCCTCCAAAAAGATGGGTGAATCTGCCAAGGCAGACCTTGTACCTTTTACGGAAACTAAGGATCATAGGCTCTACAAGGGAGAGCATGAAGTGTAAGTGTAAACACTTAGATACCCCTCCACGTGAGTGGTGATGTCTTCATTGGGCCTGGGAACAACCACCTCCTCGTCTTGCATTCCACCCGAACTATAGGGAGTGTGTCATCTGTAACGAAGCATATGTACCTTCATACTTCTTCACCTCGGTTCTATTGACTAGAGGTCTTCTCGACTTTGAAGTCGTTTTCAATGGAGCAGCCCCCGGGAACAGAACTCTGCAAAGGAGGCTCCGAGACCACCTCGGGAATGGCCACCTCGGCACTCGTGGCCTGGTTGGAAGTTGAAGGGGCGGTTTGCTGAGGCACGAATTTGGAAGTTTTTTCCATCAGATTCTAGAAAATCTGAAGGTTTGAAGATAAAGATAAATATTTGAACATGGGGGATGAAGGTATGGAGGTCTGGATTGAGATTTAAAAAAGAAGTATGAAGATTTGAAGATCTAAGAAGTAGTGTATGAAGATTTGAAGATGTTGGAGTTAAGTGAAGAATTAGAGAGTAAATCAAAGAGCTCTAGAATCGAAAAGTGAATAAGTGAAAAAGGGGTCGGAGCTTTTATAGAAGAAGGATAATCAATGCGTGGCGTTTCGCATTCATGGACAGTCAACTGGCGGCTGACACGTGTCCGAAGTCAGAACGACGTGACTGATGGGACTCATCAACTCGATTGTAATGTACGAAGAAAGAACAGGGATTAATTTATCGCTTCCAATCACTTCGATAAATCTATTCTTCGAAAAACGATGGGACTATCTGTGTATGATAAAATCGCGGGCAAAATTTCCCTTGATTCCCCGATATGAGAACAAAAAGGAATCACGGGTCGACATGATTATAAACGAGGTCAGGAATCCTTCATATCAAGACCCGGGAAGAATGAACGATGTATCAGAAATCGGATACGGTAAATCGATGTGCCCCTGACCAAGTATAGCTTCTAGACCTTGGGAGGCGTGGTGAACAGTTATGCATGACGGATAGAGGGTCGTAATATTCGCCCTCAGCCGGATATTATGATGCGAATCTCGATCAGCATCAATTATATATTAACAATTACCGAAAAAAGAAATTTTTTACCTTTTTAGACGCGTACTGGGACTTAATTCTCCTACTATATAAAGAAAAAGCTTTTCTTTAGTCTGACACATTGTAACATGCAATTCAAAGCAATAATAGTTTACTTTTGTCTTCTAGCTACTATTCAAGGCATTACTTATTGGTTCTTTTCTTCACTCGCGACCGAGCTTGTACCGAGGGCCCAATCGAGGACAAGTTTCAATGTTCGATCTAAGATCTGGCTTGATCATTACATCGCGATTGATTTGTTCGTTTATTTTGATTTTAATTCATTTATCTGTTACTCTTAATAATCCGTATTTAATTAAGCCACATATCCTTTAAAGCGCATACAAATTAAATTGTTACTCATTTTGGGGTAAACAATATTTTTTGTTTTAATTTTAGTAAGCTTTTACATATAAATTTATGCTACGCATCGAAAGTACCAAATTCACATCGACGATTGGAAGGTCTATATCAGATGTTGCGCATCAGATTTTAACTCAATTTTTTTTGCAAGGAATTTCGAGGAGACTAGGGAACGAGACTACACCTTAGTATAATTTTTCATCTACAAACCAAACAGTCCAAGCAATATTATTGTTGAGAGACAAAAGGTCTAAATTTACCCTCTCTACTTTTGAATATTATCTACGCCTAACTTTCATTATACTATTCAGTCAAATTTACCCCTACTGTTATATTATCTGGCCATATATATCCCTACCATCAATAAACTTTTAAAATTACCTCTCAATCCATCAAGTGACCTAAAATCTCCCAAATTATTTTAGTTAAGTCACTTATTCTTCTTGTTGATCCATTATTTTCAACATCGTTGGTATTAATTACTTGCTTTCTTAATTGAAAAAAAAAATAGGAGAAATGATAATTAAAATAATGCACCGGTTAGTAAATAAAGTATAGTAAATTGAAGAATCTAATTTAGATAGCTTATCTAAATCCAAAAGTATTTACAACACTCCATCTTTAATGAATTTGTTGCACCA